GGCGGCCTCGGGCCATTTCGGCACACCCCTCACGAGGATCGTGGCCCCATAGGGAGCTCCACCGAAGGCGCCAGTGGCAGGGTTCGCATGGCGGCCTCGGGCCATTTCGGCACACCCCTCACGACGATCGTGGCCCATAGGGAGCTCCACCGAAGGCGCCACTGGCAGGGTTCGCATGGCGGCCTCGGGCCATTTCGGCACACCCCTCACGAGGATCGTGGCCCCATAGGGAGCTCCACCGAAGGCCCCAGTGGCAGGGTTCGCATGGCGGCCTCGGGCCATTTCGGCACACCCCTCACGAGGATCGTGGCCCCATAGGGAGCTCCACCGAAGGCCCCAGTGGCAGGGTTCGCATGGCGGCCTCGGGCCATTTCGGCACACCCCTCACGAGGACCGTGGCCCCACTGGAGCTCCACGAAGGCGCCAGTGGCAGGGTTCGCATGGCGGCCCCGGGCCATTTCGGCACACCCCTCACGAGGATCGTGGCCCCATAGTTGTGCTGCTTCAACAACCGCGCCTGGGCGTCGTACTCCGCCTTGTCGACGTGCAACGCCACCTCCTCCCTCATGGCTCTCAAGGCCCTTTCCTGCTTCTGCTCCTCGGTGAGAGGGACGCCGTCCTTGTCGTCGTCGGCGCCCGCGAAGACGGCCACGAACGTGTCCCTGAGCATGTCGGGCTCCGGCGGGAAGCTGTGGCCACATAGGGAGCGCGGGCGAAGATGGTATTCACAACTGCGGTATTCACAATTGTATATGGTTGGGTCTTTCGCCCGGATAATTTCATGTGAGAGAGCGCAGCAAAATAGGGATTACAAGCTGCATGACAAGCGTACAACCCAAATTTACGATTGAAAAGACCTGATAACACCGAAAGGAAGACCACAGCGAAGATTGTGAGCGAATGCTGCGTATTGGAATGGAGTGCTCGCTGCCAGTAGGGCCTCAGACAGATCCACCTGCATTTGAAAGCCCGCGCTATTGTGAGGTTGGAATGCCCTCGCCGCAGCCCCAAAAAAGGAGAAGGCTTAACCCCAGACTTTCGACGCCCTGGTTTGTTTCAGACGGGGCCTCTGCGGGTCTCGCCCCTCTCCCCGCGGCCTGCCTGCCGTCCTGAGCAGCTCTCTGACGGTCCCAGGGCCCGGCGACAGCGGAAGACAAGACGGCATAAACGTATCAACTCCTGGGGTTCCATGCCGATTGCTTGGAGCCGTGCTGGACTACCCCTCCCTGGCGTGCGGACCGCGCCAGGGGCGGCGCCGGAGGCACCGCTAGGGGGCCCAGCGCCGATCCAAGAGATCCGCACAGAACTCCGAAAGTTTACAATCGGGCTGCTGGAATAAGTAGTGACGATAAAAAGGAAACGAAGCCCCTTTCTGGCCCCAAACAGCGCCTGCGTGCACGAGGAGGGCTTCAAGGATCAGCCATGGAAGGATTTCAGGAACATCGAGCCCCTTCCAAACCCAGACTGTTCCTTATTTCAGCGTATTGGCTGTATGCTTACTCCAGATCTCAAAAAATGGGGCGTGGTTCTACTTTTGGTGGGGTAACAGAAAGAGCGAGGTACGAGTGATGACGTTCTGGCGTGGGCGAAGCCCTAAAGGGAGGGGTTCCAGGGGAGGGGCGAAGCGTGTGGACCTGCGTGTTAATGGCCGTTTTCGGGTTTTCCCTTGGGTTTTTGCATGTTTTTCGGGTTCCCCCCCAAGACGGCCCAAGAGCGCTCCAAGAAAGCCCAAGACCGCCCAAGACGGCCCCCAAGAGGCCCCCAAGAGGCCCCCAAGAGGCGCCCAAGAGGCGCCCAAGGGGCGTCCCAAGAGGGCCCCAAGAGGCCGAAATCATCGATTTTCCAAAAGGAAAACGTATATTTTTAGCATATGCGCTTTGTCGGCTTCCACGGCGTTGACGACGCTCCAAGAGGCCCCCAAGACCGCCCCAAGACGCCCCAAGAGGCTCCCAAGAGGCCCCCAAAGCGGCCTAAAAGGGCGCCAAGACGGCCCAAGAGGCGCCCAAGACGGCCCAAGAGGGCCCCAAGACGGCCCCAAGAGGGGGACCACGAACCGAAAAGGCTAGCCTTTCGCCCCAAGAAGCTCCCAGGAGGCCCCCAAGAAGCCCCGGGAGGCCCCCAAGAGGTTCCCAAGAGGCCTCCAAAAGAGCCCGACAAGGGCCCCAATAGGACTCCCAAGAAGGCCCAGAGACGCCAAATAGAGAGCGATCGGTAACGCAAAAAGCTCTTCACACCAAGGCTCCCAAGAGCGAACGGTGACGTAAACAAGCTGATAAGACCAAGACTCCCAGCAGAGAGCGGTGACGTAACAAGTTCCTGACACCAAGGCCCAGCCAAGGCTCAGGTACGGGCGGCAACGCAACAATCTCTGAACACCAAGGATCTCAAGAGCGATAGGGGTGACGTAACAAGCTCTCAACGCCAAGGCTCCCAGTACGAACGGTGGTGTGAGTAGTTTCGGTCTCTGTTTCTGAAGCGCGCTCTTTCCGTTTCCGTGCCGGGCCAGGTCTAACGGGCCTCTTCAAGCAAGACTGTGGGGCGGTCTCGATGCTGGCCCCTTCGTTGCACCGCGCCGGAGGGGAGCCCCAGACGCGCTGCCAAACACTGGGTAGTCGAAGCCAATCTGGCGCCAATCTGGCAGGCCCAATCTGGCAAACAGGGGCAATCTGGCGAGGGAGCCAACGCGAATCCAGTCTGGCGAATAACCCAAATCCTCCAATATGGCCATGCCAGATTGGCCCTTGGGGCCCAATCCAGTCTGACAGTCTGGCCTTCGACTACCCAGAAACACCTTTCGACCCCACCACATGCCGTTGTACCGGTTCGGTGGCGCGAGCCCCTGCGCCGACCGCCCCGTCCCCGCCCCCGGACATCCAGCGTTGCAACTGCTTGCCATGCGGAGACCCGGACCACTTCCCCAGGACCTGCGTTTCGTCCTGGGCCGTTCTCCCAGACATCCGACGTCGTGATTCTTGTCGCAACGTCGACCCCCAGATGTCTCTGGACCCCTTCCCCGGGACGGGATTTCCATCCCGAGGCGTTTTCGACGGCTCCGAGGCTTGCTAAGGGCCCTCGGAGAGTGAAAACAGCGAAGAACCTCCAGTCGAGGTTCTGGCTCACCACGCGAGGGAGCCTGGGCGCTTGGCGGCCCTGGGGCCTGGCGCGGGCCCCCCCCCCAGGAGGCCGCAAGAGGCCCCCGAGCCCTGCCGCCTGGCTTCTTGCTCGGGGCCTCGGACCTCCGGGGACGGGGCTCCCTCCGCGCCTTGGGCCTCCGCCGCACCCGCGGCCGCGCGTCGGCGCCGGCTGGCTCTCGGCCGCCCGGCCTCGGGGGACGGTCCCCCGCGGCTGCTTCGCGGGGGGGGGGCCGTGGGCAGCGTCTCGAGAGGCCGAAGGCCTTCTGAGCCTCAGGGCCCCCCCCCCCCACACGTACCCAGACGTGCTCGCGTCGTGAAGAGACTCGGGACGGATAGATGCTCGTCGTCTCCGGCCTCTCCCGGGCCCTCGCCGGGCCCCTGGGGCCGTCAGAAACGACCAGGAGGAAGAGCCGGTCACGGAGGAAGGGTCGGGATTTCTGGGGGCCGCGGAAGGAAAGCAAGTCAGGACGCCACATCTCTGGGTCTGCCTTCGCCCCAGGTCACGCCGCCGACAGGAAGCCCGACGCCCGCCACAGTGGCGATGCGGCGCGACCCTCCGACCACATCTGGTCGGATACCACCTGGGAGGCCTAGACCACCCCGGGTCGACCCGCGGATCGGGGCGAGGAGGAGGCCAAAGGAGCCCAGGGAGACACAGACAGATCGACAAAAAACCAAGGGTCTCCCATATCTTCCCATACTTCTCAAATCTTCCTCTTCCCCTCCATTTCCAAACTTCTCCTTTTTCTAATGAGAATCATCGTTTATGTTTGGAGGCGGCTGGGGGAGAGCATGCTACGCATGGAACGAATTCAACGAAAACACATAGATTGCATTGGATCCGTGAGTGGATCAAGAGACGGAAGACTCATGTTCGGGGGAGACTCGGAAGGCTCTCGTGTTCGGGGGACTCGGGTTGGCCCGACGGTGCCGTCAGCAAAATGACGAGACCCACTCTGAAATCTGACGCGAGATTCCTCTGCAGACGTCCCACGAAAACGAGGCCGTGAAAATCCAGGGCGGGCTCGTCCGAAAGCGTAGGCGAACCCGAGTTCCGGCGCACTCGAGTCTTACGTTTCCCCAAACGAGAGACTGCTGACGGAGATCCTCCAGACTGGCCTCTCGAGCCTTTGGATGGGCGGGCCTGTGGATGGGGATATAAAGCCATCTCTTAGAGGATGAGGAGGAGGAGGAGGAGGAGGAGGAGGAGGAGGAGGAGGAGGAGGAGGAGGGTTATCCTGGCCAGACTTTCTGGCTCCCTTCTTGGGAGAAGGGGGACACCTGAGCTCCGGCGCACTCGAGCCCTACGCTTCCCCGAAACGCTCCCTCCTGAGAGGCCCGGCGGCCGCCGCCGCGCCGCGGCCTCCGCCGCACCACCAGCCGCGCGGCGGCGCCGGCCCTCCCGGAGCCCTTCCCCGGGACCAAACCGCCCAGATCCACGATCCCTCATAAGGGCGCGGAAGGGGACCCTGAAGAGACCCCCCACGTCTCTGGCCATCGCTCGGACGTCCATTTCCTATGCTTTTTTCGGTTTCGTGCGTGGTTATTTTGCGAAGTGATCCAGAATGCTCCTCGACGGTCCTCGCCGAAGGAAAAATGCACACGTCCGAGCGATGCCAAGCCCAGATCCACGATCCCGAAGGGCGCAGAAGGGGACCTTGAAGAGCCCCCCCACGTCTTCCTCGTGCTCTTCGGGTCGAGGGCTTCCTCCATGCTCTCCAGGGAAAGCTCGCCCTCTGTTCTAGGGTCGAGGGCTTCCTCTGTCCTCGAGGGAAAGCTCTCCCCAGGGTCGAGAGGGCTTCCTCTATGCCCTCCAGGGAAACCTCGCCCTCCCGGGAGGCCCGACGCCCGCTGCCGCGGCCCCGC